TCTTCAACCTGCTCTGCATGTGACCCCCGCCCCCCCGGGTGGCTCCCTTCCCCGTTCTCTGTTGTGAGAGGTGCAAGAGCCTTGGAAGATAACCAGATCAGCCCTCAGTTGCTGGCCAGGGCTCTGTGGATGATAGAAATGCTCCAGATCTCTCCTAACCCGGGCCAGCAGAGTTGATACAGTTGCTAGTGTGTCCTGTTTGCCTCCACTAATTTCGGCAGTCAAGAGAAATGGTGCTGCAGATACTTAAAGACAGAGCCCTGTCCATCTGACACGAGCCCTGCAGTACAGCGAGGGTGTATTCTGCTGGCTGGGTGAGCGTGATTCAGTCCATGTTGCAGTTGGCCCCTCCTGATGCATGGCATGGCATTATGTTTTGCTGGCACCTTTAATTAAATGCTATGAGACAGGTAGAGTACATTTGTCCTGCCCACGCCGGTCAGACTGATGAAAGTTGCTACCAGTGTGAGTACTCACGTGTCTTGTCCCTGGTGCTCAGCTGCATGTGGCCTTGGAGTCTGTGACACCTGACTCCATGTGGTGTGGTGCTTGCCAGACTCCCATATTCCTGCTGAGTCTGGAGCTTGGATCTGCAGCTGCAGGGGTCATGGATGGGAGCAGCCCTGCTGGACCCTGGCAGGGTGTCTGTCTCTACTGAGCTTTCCTGAAGATGCATGTCACACAGGTGGCCATAGCATGTTGCAGGAGGAGTGGCCACCGGGGCCCACCCAGGCACTTTCTCTTCACTGCTTTGGTGGGTCCTTCTAGGCAGGAGCTGTGAGTGAGATCACACACACTGGGTCTTGCAGGTCCCCTTGGTGAATCAGCAAATCTGGGGGTGGCCTTGAGGTTGAGGCTCAGCCATTCACTTGAACAGCCCAGCATCATTCAGGGGTGCACCCAGGACTCAAGGGCTGATTCCTGGGCTTGTGGGCTCACCCTCCTGAGTGCCTTCTGACACCCGAAGCTGTTGATTCTGCCCTGTCCACAGGCAAGGAAGTGTACCCCAGAGGCAGGACTGGCCCGCTTGCGCCTGACTCCAGCAGGGCCCTCTGGTTTCTGCCTGGTTTTGGTTTCCCCAGTGCCTTGAGGGCATCTTGTTTGAATCATCCCTCCACCTGTGTGGTGTGTGACTTGGCATTGACTCCCCCCACTCCACACCCAGGCCCAGCTTCTTTGAGCTGAGCGAGAAATGGCACTGATGGAGAAGATCCTGGCTCTGCCTCCAGAAAGCAGCAGGGGCTGCCCTGGGGAATCGGGGTGTCTGTTTCCATCTTACAGGTGCTTCTCTACTGTAATGGGATTGCCTCCTCCCCGTGAACCCTTTGTAACTTGAGCTAAAACTGCAGAGCCACACAGCCCCCGCCCACCCTGGAGAAGGGTGGTTTCCCGGGATCCCAGGGGCTGTGCCTCACTGCCACCACCCCGTGTCCCAAGGGAGGGTGCTGCATCCTAGGTAGCCTAGAAAATCAAAGTTCAAAATTTGAAGAAGTTTCTGCTGAATCCATATCGCTTTCTTCCCACAATAAAGCTTCAAAATCATGTCAGGGTCCTTCTCCACATAAAAACTATTCTGAAAATTTAATACAACTTAGTAGTTAAGACAGCTTTTTACATGGTTGTTATGCATGTATCTTCCGCATGTAAAGAGCTGTTGCATTTTAGGGTCACCAGAAGTCTTCGCTATAAGCAGAATTTCAGTAAATGCATTGCTTTTCTCTGTAGTGACGCTTCGTTCTGTCTCACGAGTCAGACCTGAGAAAAGTTTTCAGCCTTGCGTGCAGTTTCACTTTTACCCCTTCGGCCTGCACCCATTGTCCTGGGAGGAATGAGATCAGGTAGAATCAGCCAGAGCTGCGGCTGACAGTGACTGCTTAGGTGCTGTGTGACACTTTCCTGCCGTGGTGGCTCTGCAGCGTTGGTCTGTTTCCTGTGAGGCAGTGTATCTGCCTGCCTCGCCTTGGCTTACAGCAGGAGGTTACCCCTTCCCCTCTCATCCTGGGCTCTAACTGGATGGATTCCTCCAGTGGATTTCTGCTCATCTGTGCATGAGTCTTTGCTCTGTGCTCTTTCCCTTCTCTGCAGCCCTGGGCACCTTTCAGCTCATTGCTATCCTGGGAACACCAGGCATGGGTCGAGGCAGGTAGGGCAGATGTGCGAAACGGTCCTGTGGCTAAATGTTACTGCTCTGCAAACCATTGGTGGAGAAGCCAGATTGTACTTTTTCCTAACAAAAAGAACTTCGGGTGGCTCATTACGTGGACAGCTGAATTGTTTAGGATTTGTTTTCTGCTTCTGTTTTCACACCACGTGTGACTGTGAATAACATTATTATAAAACAGTATCTGGGTGAATTGAGTGACATCTTCATACCTTTCATCCTAGTGCTGGGTTTTAAATTCTTAGTAGAACTTGTTTGTAATTTCAAGCCCTACATTCTTCCATTCAGACTTTACTTGGTATGATATACTTTGCATTGAAATTCTGTAATTGAGGATGTACCTTGAAAAAGATGCAGGGTAGGAAGATACAAGAAAGGGGCTGAAAGATTTATCCGTGTGCTTGTCTTGTAATTTTCCTTCGCCACGGAGTCCTCGGAAATGATGGAAGGTTTGATAGTCCAGGAACAGTTCACCGAATCCCAGGGACGCCTTGTGGCTGACACAAAGCGTGGTTCCTACCATATAAAACAAAGAGAATATTTTTTTTAGCTGTTATTTTTTGTCAGTACGTTTTTGTATAGTGTTTACATGCCTTGCGTGGGGTTGAGACACACACAAAACACATCTTCATTTGTGAGTCCGCTCACCCACCTCCCCACGCTCTCTTGGTCTCCTTCCATTTGGGAAAGATTGCTTTCCCCGCTTCCTGTTACCTGTCTTTGATTTGGGGTTTATTATTTTATGACACATGGACACTACAAAGTCTGAAGCTCAGTATCCATGGGTAGTTTCTGTTTAATGCCGCCTTGTGCACTTGAGTGTGATGTGTGTGTAGGTTATGGTGTGTGTGCGAGTATGTGTGATGTGCGTACCTGTGTTGTGCACACACAGCACAGCCCCTAGGCTTCACGTGCCCTCACAGGGGGGGTTTTCGGTGCTGTGAGAGGAGGCAGTGGTGGCCACGGGTCGGCAGTGTCTCAGGCCTGTGGCCGTCTTGTCCCTGCCAGCCGCAGCTGTCGTTTGCTGCTGAGGCTCGAGGTGTTGTCCTGCCTCCGTCTGCAGAGTGGCAGGACCTGGGGAGGGACTGGCAGCTGAACTTCCCCAGAGCCTGTGGCCTTGGAGGAGACTCTCAGGGATGTGTGCTTAAGGAGGGAAGCAAAGAAAGAGCACATGCCTCTGGGCTCCTCGCCTTGTATTTCTAAGAAAACGAGCAAGAGCAAAAGGGTATCCCAGCCTGGTGTGCATGCTCTGGAATGGAAACTGACCTAGGGGGAGCAAAAAAGCATTAAACCAGTTTTCCCAGGAGAGAGGATCTCTTTAATTGCATGCATTTAAAACTTTTAAACTGTTGCTGCCATGAAATTGATTTGTATGGAATTTTCCAGAAATGCATCTTTTAACTTAAATTGAAATGCTTGTACCTCCGTAACACTTCAGAAGTGAAAGAGCAGGGCGAAAACCACTTTAAAAGTTCTCCTTGCTCTCTTGTAGACTGCGGGCTTGCTCGCACCAATCTGACATTAATTTTTGACTCCGGAGATCTGTTAGGCGTGAAATCTGCCTCCGGATGAAACAAGGCCTCTCTGTCCTTAATCCTCTCAGCTTGGAAGCAGTGATGTGTGTTTTACTTCAGGCTGTTCAGTAGTTAGGGGTTTCAGTTCTCTGTCTCACACATTGGAGAGTTTGTGTCGTATTTTTGAACAAGTTAACTACAATCTGCCTGTATTATTGTGAAATATCAGAGAACTGAGTACCCTGTCATGTCTTCCAACATAGCCTGTAGCTTTGACAGAATGATGCTGATGTTTTTGGTGATTGGCAAGTGTAGACCATTGCGTCCGTTCTCAGGGAGGTGGCTCTCCTGAGACACAGGCATGCACAGCCACGGGGGAAGCAGGCTGGTGGTTTTCACATTAGCTGCGGATGTAACAGCAGATGAGGATGTTTCTGCAGTAACATACGTGGGCGTTGTGCCAGATGCTTTTCCTTCACACGAGTTGTAAAAGGTCTCATTTATACATAGGATGTTGAAGTAGTAGAATGTGTCCCGGTACTCACGTGAGGCACGTTCAAAGGTTAATAGCCACTTCCTTTAAAGCTATAAAATTAAAACAGGATTGGAAGGTAAATAACCTGATCACGCTAGGCTATTTTATCACAGTAAACTGCGTGGAAGCTTCAGAGTAAGACCAGCAGCACCATTGCAAACCTCCTCGGCGGCCAGTTCCATGGCACCCCAGTCTTCTTCCAGCCTGGTGTGTTGGCCACTGCTGGTCTCCTGAGGGTGACATGCCCGCCCTGTGTCCCCCCCCTGCCCTGAGACAAGGCTGTCAGTGGTTAGCACTGCAGGAGCTGTGACTGTGGTCGGGGCTCAATGCAGGGTAAAAAGAGCCCCTTTGAATCTCAAATATGATGCTCCCCAATGCGTATCCATTTTTTTCTACTTTTGTTGCTAATAACTAAAAGTTTACTTACACTTAGAGAGAGGCTGTGGTTTTGAGGTAAAGTGATCAGTTACATTTCCTGTCACAATCGTCTGTCACTTTGAGGATTTATTTTGAATCCATACATAACCACATGGTAATTGTACGGTGTGAAGGGTGCTAGGTAATGTTTTGATACCTGCATTCAGGCCGCACATTCTGAGCATAAAGGTAGAGCATTTTGCTTGACTTCGTTTCAAGGAAATTGGCAGAATTCTAGGTGTTCTGTTACCGTTTTACTGTGGCGCTATTATTTTGATGTTTTCTTACGAAGCTTTGCCTCCCTTAAATAATAAAGTTATTTGGGGTTTGTCGCTGTCATTTACCAGTTTTCTGGGTTTTTCTGCACATACAGGTCGAAAGGATTGTTGACAAGAGGAAAAACAAAAAAGGGAAGACAGAGTACCTGGTGCGGTGGAAAGGCTACGACAGCGAGGACGACACGTGGGAGCCGGAACAGCACCTGGTGAACTGCGAGGAGTACATCCATGACTTCAACCGGCGCCACACCGAGAAGCAGAAGGAGGGCGCGCCTGCTCGGACCACCAGGACCTCCCCCAACAATGCCCGGAAGCAGATCTCCAGGTCCACCAACAGCACCTTCTCCAAGGCCTCGCCGAAGGCACTGGTGATCAGCAAGGACCCCGAGTCCAAGAACAGCCCGCTGCTGGCAGCCAGCCAGAAGTTCAGGAAAAACACAGCCTCCTCCCTGTCCAGCCGGAAGAACATGGACCTCGCCAAATCAGGTATCAAGATCCTGGTGCCTAAGAGCCCCATTAAGAGCAGGACCGCAGTGGACGGCTTTCCAAGCGAGAGCCCTGAGAAACTGGACCCCATCGAGCAGGGTCCCGAGGACACAGTGGCACCAGAAGTGACAGCAGAGAAGCCGGTGGGAGCTTTGCTGGGCCCCGGCGCAGAGCGAGCCAGAATGGGGAGCAGGCCCCGAATACACCCGCTTGTGCCCCAGGTGCCGGGCCCTGTGACTGCAGCCATGGCCACGAGCTTGGCCGTGAACGGAAAAGGTGAGTGTGTAGGTGTGGGCAGTGCCTGGGGCGTGCAAGGCCCCCCTGGTGCTTAGGCTGGGGGATGGGCGCAGGTGTCCCGACCCCAGGGAGAGCGCGCTAGCTCCTTTGTTCCCTTGGCACCTCGGGTGTTCAGTTCTTTGCCATCTGCAGCTGTATCCCCACTTTGAACAGGTGAGGTCTGTACTGTTTTGCGATGAGTTCATTTTGAAGCTGACTGCCTTTCTCTCAGCCCGAGTCTGAGAACGCCCTGCAGCTCTCCGCATGGGCAGTGTAGATTGAGAAGCAGTGCTTCTGATTTTGCACCCCCATTGGGATAACCAAAGGGCACTTCTTTCAAAGAGGGCAACATTTGCCCGATGGGGCTTCAGGAGTCTAGTCAGCTGTCATGTTTGCTCCTTGTTTTGGAGAGGGCGGTGTGCAGCAGGTGGGCCCTCACTCTTGGGCCCACCTGCCTTTGAATTCCCCATCCTGGAATCCTCCCCTTGCTTGCCTGTGCCTGGCTGGCTCCCAGCCCATATGGAATTCTGGTCCCTGTCTTCCTCAACCCAGTCCCACCGGCCCTGCCTCCTTCAGGACTTGGGGATGTCCAGCCCACCATGGCTTCAGCTGTGCAGTTGATGTCTCTGCTCCTAGCTTTTCACAGCCTCCTGTAGGACAGTTGGGCCTGAGCCAACATAAAAGACTTCAGGAGACTGGTGGCCCCGCTCTGGGTCGGGGGAAGTTCTGCGTGTGCATTCTAATGGGAAGAATCTGTGGTTTTCAGAAGTGACTCGGGGGCTGAGAACCAACCTGGTCCTTGCTGTGAACCTGGAAGTCTGGTTTTAATTGATCTCTGCTTCCGACCCTACCTTCCTCCTACTCTCCCTCCCACCCAGCCCCACCCCCTCATGCCTCCAAATCAGCTGCACTCCACCTAAGTTGACACATTTGCTTCCATGCTTGCTTTCATAGAAGACTCCTTTCCTTCTCGTTTACTGTGTGAGGAGGGTGCCTTGCTCCTGATTTGGTGGCCGGGGCTGTCACTCAGTGGCAAGTATGCCGAGGGTTTGCAGGCCCCTGGGTCTAGTTCCCAGCGCAGTGTGCATGCGTCAATACCTAAGGCTCTGCTGCTTTTCAATGAATGTCCGTAAGGGCAGCTTTCTTAAACCAAAAGGGACTGTAGAACCGAAGTGACTTTACCTGGGCCTGTGCAGGGGTGAGGTTGGCAGGGGACTGGCTGTGTCGCAGGGCCCCGAGATGCTTTCTCCGGGGTGCTGCTGTGGCTGTGTCCCTATGCCTCTTGCTCACCCCTTCCTGGCTGTTGGGCATTCACAGCCCTGCGTCCTGTGTGCTGCTGAGAATATAATCCCTGCTCAGAGGGAAATAGCCACTTTAGGGGTATTTTTAGGACAGTGGTAGCAGCCTTGTAGCCCACACTGATACCAGGTTTGCCAGTTAATATAGAAAATAAGGCAGCCCTTCCTCTGGGGCCTCCCATCGGCCTCTCCTTTCCACAAGAGAGGAGGCGGTGTTTACCACAGGGGTCCCACAGATGTGGGGTCAGCCAGGAGGTGTCGTTGTTCGGGTACAAGCTTGGGGAAGCACACCTACCCAGAAGCATGCCTACCTCCTAATGGGTCTCTGTGCACACCCAGGCAAGGGGTGGGTGCTCTCTGCAGATGAGGGTCCCTTCCGTGGCCTTGTCGCTGTCTCAAGCCAACAGGAGAGCAGAGGGGAGAAACGGGGGCCGGACCGACCTTCCACAAAGCCACGTGTTCTCCTGCCTGGATGAGCAGAGATGACGCTGAGCTTCCAGGACACTGTCGATCCGCACTCATTCATTTTTACAGCAGTTGTTTGTTTTTACTTTCCAGATTAATTTTAGAGCTGTGTAAGGAAACCGACTTGTGTTTTCTAATCAAAGCAGATTCGTTGGGAAATGAGCCACTTCCTACTCAGGACATTCATTCCGTGTTCTGGGCCTGTTTCTGAGACATTCTAGCACGTGCATAGTGGCTTTTAGAGAGCAGTGGTATCCGGTTTAAAACAGTTTGGGTAGATGAGTCTCTTGCTTCCCTCAGAACTGTCTCTGCAGCAGTTCTGATCCTCTTTTATCGGTCAGCTGATTTTTCTCATTCTCCTAATTGCCTGATGAATTAATCCTACGGAAGAAGTACTTTCAGAAACTGGATTATCTTGACTCTGTTCTTCATGAACTCAAATATATAACTGGTCATCATTCCACAAGTAGGAGATTTGACAAAATGCTGTTAGCAAACTTAAAGCAGTAGGTGTAACCCGTACCCGTGTAGCCCTGCAGTGTTGGCTGTTAGATGTTGCCATCAAAGCCAGCAGATGCAGTAGGAAGGTGAGTGAAAGTATGCTAGGACATCTTCCATTCCGGGAGGGTTTTTAGTAAACACCCCGGAAGAAATGACTCAGGACAGCGTGGCTGCTCCTGAGTGTGATTTCTTCTCAACAAGAGTAGGAACAGAGCTGGACGAGGTGGTGCATGCCTGTACTTCAGCACTCAGCAGGCTGAGGCAGGAGGATTTCCATAAGTTCGAGGCCCTCTGAACTAATAGCGTGACCCTGTCTCAGACAAAAAGAGTAGCAAAAGAAGCCCCAGCTCTCCTCTGTGGTTACCAGGGGAGCATAATTGCTGTATCAATAACTTCCTCTGGAAACAGGCCCCTGGCTCCACAAACTGTTTGGTGTTTAAGGCTCTGAAATGAACCCCACGAAGGCTAAGAAGGCTGGAGCCCAGGGCCCAGCAGTCACACTGCGCAGTCAGGCCACAGGGGCAACGTCCACGTTGGAAGGGGGATGTGTGAAGCCAGGTTAGTACAGGCAGTGAGGGAAAGATTGTGTGGGATTTACATCAGAAAGCTCTCCAAAGGGCACTGCAGGTACAGTGGGCCCCTCACTGGATCTTCTCGTGTATTTGCACACCAGGAACACAGCTGCTTACACGCAGAGAGGGCACAGGCAGCGGCCTCCAAGCCAGGGGTGGGCCTTGGAGGCACGAGTGCTGATTCCAGAGTGGTTCGTGGGTGCCCCTGTGCCCTGAGTTGACACACTGGCCTTCAGTCTGGTGCTTAAGAACCCAGTGCCAATCCTGGGAAGACGGTGAATCAATAAGCAGCAGAGTGAACAGCCTCTCCAGGAAAAACAGTCCAGATGCTGGAATACAGCATTCTGGAGAAGACAAGAAAGAAGGAAGCGGGTCCTCTCCACCCAGAAAGAGCCTAGAGTGATAATTGAAGCCCACAGAGAGACTTTAAAAAAGAAAAACCTTAAAAGAAGGCAGCAGCTGGTGGCACTTTCACCCAGAGCCAGAACCACCGTGCGAGAAGCACTGTTGGAACCTGGAGACACACGGTCACAGCGGAACTGGTGGCTGCCAAGCCCAAAGGCCTATGCAGGCAGACGCAGTGGCAGAGGGGTGCAGCGGACCAAAGAACTGCACTGGCTGGTGGTGAATGTGGGGACTCAGTCTTCCTGCAGGAGTGGGCGATTGGCTGGGGCCTATTTTGGAGCCAGGTAGGATAAACCCAGAGCCAGAATTGCAGCCGGCTTCACTCAGCCACTCCTAGCTCGGAGCCGACTGCTGGAAATTGCTTGGACTACATCCTGTCCCTGTGCACAATCCAGCAGCCACCTCTGAGGTTTGCCTAAAACTATCCCCAGCCAGCTCTACCTGTGTGTACTAATGTGGTGAAGACTCCCCACGGTTAACCAGCTTGGGAGGGAGGCGCCAGTCTGCCTACCCCTGCTTGCACTCCACCTGCCACCAATAGCCCTACACCAGCACACCCAGTGGTCAGCATCAGATACCCCTAGCCGGTACACTTCAGAGAACACAGGAAGTGCCAAGGACTCCACTACCCACTTGTCCAGAAGAAACCAGGAACATGACAAGAAGAAGCACAAGGCAGTCTCTGGCCTCCAACCCAAGCAGTACTGGCCCAGGAGAGGTAAACACAGAAGCGGTGGGGAGTCACACACCTGAAGTTTCTGAAGCAACAGCAACTGAAATAAAGAAACAACTTCAAGAGGCTATCAAAGAACTTAGAACAGAAATACTATCTCAGGTAAAAGAAAAAATGAGAAACATAATAAAAGAATCACTAAGCACTCTAAAGAAGACACAGAGGGAAAAATAGAGGAGCATAGAAAAATGAGGGAAACTTTCAATGAAGAATATAAAAAAGACTTAAAATACATGAAACACAAGATTACCAGGAAATTAAAAACACCATTGAAAGCTGGCAAAACCACTTGAAAGAAACTAAAGATAAACTATCAGACCTTGAAGACAGGTTTGCAGCTTGTGATCACGAAAGGAAAGATCTCTTAAAAATAACAAGGAACCAGGAAGTAACAATACAAAGGCTAGAAGACGACAAGGGGATCTATAACTTAAGAATAAAAAATGTGAGTGAAGATGCAGGGGTAAAAACAAATGATATACAAAGGCTATTTACAGAAATAATTAAAGAGAACTTCCCAAGCATAGGAAAAGAAAATGATATTCAGGTAAGTGAGGCATACAGAACTCCAGCCAGTTACCACCAAAATAGATCTATACCCAGACATATAATAATCAAGATCCCAGAAATTCAACACAAGAACAGAATATTAAAAGCTGTCAGAGAAAAGAAACAGATCACCTAAAAAGGAAAACCCATCAGAATCATGATAGACTTCTTGACACAAACCATCAAATCAGGAAGAGCTTAGAGTGAAGAATTTCAAGTCCTCAAAGGAAATAACCTCCAACCCAGATTGATGTACCCTGAAAAACTACCTTTCAAAATTAATGGAGAAACAGGACGCTTCCATGACAAAGAGGAACTGGGGGAGTTTATGACCACCAATCCAACCCTACAAAAATTACTGAAGGACATTTTAGAGAGAGAGAAAAAAGACCATGATTTCAGGAACAGTGGCAGAGCAGGTTTACTGAATGGGCAGACAGTGGAATGAAGGGGAAAGTAGACAGCCAGCGGCAGAAA